CAGAAGCATCGACTCATCTGTTTCTCAGTGACATTTAGAGATTATATACAAAACACAAAGGTAATAAGAAATAGACAAACTGAATGTCCATTATGTCTACATCCTTCACAGATACACTCAGTCATGTTTTTTAAATATATATTTTCATTTTCCTCTTCATCCAACAAAGTTGACCCTGTTGATGTGGTTGCAGCATTTTCAGTGTGACAAACTTTCCCTCCTTGAAGTGACTTCTTCCTCCTTATAAACAGTGCAGCTGTATAGTGATTGAAACCAGCACCACACTGAGCCAGTTTTATAAATGTGAAAAATGGGAGTGGACATCCCTAAGATGAGAATCCCATCAGCTTACAGTGCTGTGTATAACTCCTGGCCTCTCATCAAGTCACAGCAGCTTGTATATTAACGATCAAATGAACAGAATCAACTTTCTGGGATTTGCTTACCTGGATTATTGAGCATGCATCTCTTAGTTGTTTCAAAGGACAAAAACAGTGAATATTTTTTTGAGAATAAAATGAAAATGTTGAATAGAATGAAAGTAATAAAACAAAGATGAAAGAGAGGAAGAAAATGGTTTGTGTTCCTGTGTCCTGACTGGTTCTAACACACAGGTGTGTATGAATGTTTACAATAACAATAAATCAGAAAAAGATGAACAGTGATGTAAATCAGATGATTTATGGGAAACTGTAGTCTGCAGGACTTACTGATGCACTTTAGACCATAACGTAAAACTCAGTTACAAACTTGTGTTTGTGTATAGATGTGTATTTAGATATATAGACAGATTGATGATTTTGCTGTTATTTTTATTTCATCACAAAGTTTTTATTTCTATCCAGTGATCTTCAACTCATGTCAGATGGTTCGAATACTACTGTTAGATCAAAGCTGCTGGTATTTTACAGAAACACACTTTAGTGCAGGTACTTGTATGTACTTTTAGTGGTAACTGTGACCAGTGTGACTCCTAACTTATCATAGTTTCATGACAATCTTTACCTGAACGTAAACAATCAGCTAGCAAAGTGAAAGTAAACAACAAGTGAAACAAAACTAAACAGTGAATGAAACAGAGCAGGAACACATTCTCCAGAGAAAAGGGGAATAAAAACAGTATAATCATGTCACCATAGTGTCTCTACAACTTTACAAAGTCAGACTCAGTTCAGTACTCATGAACGTGTTCACTCTCATAGTCTTCGTGCGGTCTTTGTGGTAAATGTCTCCCCCGCGTAGAGACAGTTTAAGTTAATAACTGAAGAGAGTTCATCTTTAATGAACCCAACTGATTACAATCCAGGGCCATGTTAAACCTGGAAGCATCTGTATGGTGACATGTACGAATGCTCTAGGTATTTAGGAAAAGAACTTCAGTCCTTCATTTATTACCTCCTTTAGCAGTGAATATATTTATTCATCATTTATGAAAGGAGAGGAGAAATATCATCCCAACAACCATCTGACTATTTGATTAACAAAGCTAATGAAGTTGCACAGATTATGCATCATGTACAGGCTATGACCTGCTGACCTGCTGTTGAATTCAGTTGCTCTACACAACTGAATTCAACAAGATGTAAAGAGATGTTTCATGAGTTGTCCAGACATACTTCCACTCTCTGAGAGTACACTGTCTTTATACTAGATGGTATAAAGTTGGTATGAAAGGGAAAATCAGCGAATGGATCTAAGAATCGTCAGCTAAAAATCGCATTAATCTCTGCTTCACTTGCTGTAAGCTACCTCTGAGCATTAAGCCACAGCCACTGTGCACCAGTCACACATTATTCTTTACTTTAAACCAGTACAGTGCAGCAAACTAACCCATCAAAACATGGATAAGTGGCAGCAAAGCAACTGAGTGAACAGTAGAAGACAAAATGTGGCGGGGTGTGGTCTGCGGTGCCGCTGCAGGGGAGGCCGACACACCTGAGAGGCATCTGCAATCACACGTCGCCAACTGTTGTGATTGTGGATGGTGTGTGTCAGGCTGTGAGCTGTGGAGCGGCAGCCAACTGGTGTTTGTACAGCAAACGTGTGTGTAAAGTCTGCTGCAAAGCATGTACATGTCGTCAGGTCTGCTGTGGTTCGGTTACACTATAATATTAAAAAAAGGTAAAGAGGTTAAACACAGAATAAAACACAGATGATGTAGACAAACCAGCAGAGTGTGAGTGTGTGTGAGAGGAAAGTATAGTATTAAAAGTTCTGTATGACTGTGTGTTTAAGTTGCTTTCATCAACACTTTGGGGTTTTATTAGGTTTCGAGGTTTCTGCAGCAGGAACTCTTTTAGCCACAGATCACTGCAAAATGTCACAAGAGAGTGGTTAGAAAATTAGAAGAAGCAGAACCAGCACACTGTGTCTCAGAGCTCTACAGGGCGCAAGAAAGGGAAAAGTGAGATAAAATAAAAGGATAGTAAGGCAGGGGCAAAAAAGGAGCGGAAAAGAAAAGAGCAAAGAAAGAAATAGGGAAAGAAGGACGAAGAGATAGAGCGCAGGGGAATAGGAGGAGAGACAGAGGCAAAGAAAAAACATAAAAAGAGGGAAAGGGGAAGGGCGCCAATAAAAAAAAAAAAGAGGGCAAAAAGGAAATAAAGAAAAGAAAAAGCCAGGCGACAAATAAGGCGGGAGAAGAAAAAGGGAGGGGGAGGAGCAGGAACTCTTTTAGCCACAGATCACTGCAAAATGTCACAAGAGAGTGGTTAGAAAATTAGAAGAAGCAGAACCAGCACACTGTGTCTCAGAGCTCTACATGTGAGCTGAACAGCTGACAGTAAATCAGTTGGTTTACAGGAACTCTCAGCTGTTGTGTAAACACCGTCACTGCTGTAAGTCTCCTGCCAGGTGTGCGATGGAAGATTTAAGATTCTTCTACTTCTCTGTGTCAGGATGATCTTAATGAATTCAAAAGTTCCATAATGTCATATTCTGTCTCCATGTAATCGTTCACATATACCACATGTTGCTGTACAAGTTTGATGTTCTGTGTTCTGTGACCATGGTGGGTAAATAACTTGTGTCTAAAAATTATTCTTGTAGGCAGACTTGCTGTGCTCGAATACAGGGAGTGCAGAATTATTAGGCAAATGAGTATTTTGTCCACATCATCCTCTTCATGCATGTTGTCTTACTCCAAGCTGTATAGGCTCGAAAGCCTACTACCAATTAAGCATATTAGGTGATGTGCATCTCTGTAATGAGAAGGGGTGTGGTCTAATGACATCAACACCCTATATCAGGTGTGCATAATTATTAGGCAACGTCCTTTCCTTTGGCAAAATGGGTCAAAAGAAGGACTTGACAGGCTCAGAAAAGTCAAAAATAGTGAGATATCTTGCAGAGGGATGCAGCAGTCTCAAAATTGCAAAGCTTCTGAAGCGTGATCATCGAACAATCAAGCGTTTCATTCAAAATAGTCAACAGGGTCGCAAGAAGCGTGTGGAAAAACCAAGGCGCAAAATAACTGCCCATGAACTGAGAAAAGTCAAGCGTGCAGCTGCCAAGATGCCACTTGCCACCAGTTTGGCCATATTTCAGAGCTGCAACATCACTGGAGTGCCCAAAAGCACAAGGTGTGCAATACTCAGAGACATGGCCAAGGTAAGAAAGGCTGAAAGACGACCACCACTGAACAAGACACACAGGCTGAAACGTCAAGACTGGGCCAAGAAATATCTCAAGACTGGTTTTTCTAAGGTTTTATGGACTGATGAAATGAGAGTGAGTCTTGATGGGCCAGATGGATGGGCCCGTGGCTGGATTGGTAAAGGGCAGAGAGCTCCAGTCCGACTCAGACGCCAGCAAGGTGGAGGTGGAGTACTGGTTTGGGCTGGTATCATCAAAGATGAGCTTGTGGGGCCTTTTCGGGTTGAGGATGGAGTCAAGCTCAACTCCCAGTCCTACTGCCAGTTTCTGGAAGACACCTTCTTCAAGCAGTGGTACAGGAAGAAGTCTGCATCCTTCAAGAAAAACATGATTTTCATGCAGGACAATGCTCCATCACACGCGTCCAAGTACTCCACAGCGTGGCTGGCAAGAAAGGGTATAAAAGAAGAAAAACTAATGACATGGCCTCCTTGTTCACCTGATCTGAACCCCATTGAGAACCTGTGGTCCATCATCAAATGTGAGATTTACAAGGAGGGAAAACAGTACACCTCTCTGAACAGTGTCTGGGAGGCTGTGGTTGCTGCTGCACGCAATGTTGATGGTGAACAGATCAAAACACTGACAGAATCCATGGATGGCAGGCTTTTGAGTGTCCTTGCAAAGAAAGGTGGCTATATTGGTCGCTGATTTGTTTTTGTTTTGTTTTTGAATGTCAGAAATGTATATTTGTGAATGTGGAGATGTTATATTGGTTTCACTGGTAAAAATAAATAATTGAAATGGGTATATATTTGTTTTTTGTTAAGTTGCCTAATAATTATGCACAGTAATAGTCACCTGCACACACAGATATCCCCCTAAAATAGCTAAAACTAAAAACAAACTAAAAACTACTTCCAAAAACATTCAGCTTTGATATTAATGAGTTTTTTGGGTTCATTGAGAACATGGTTGTTGTTCAATAATAAAATTATTCCTCAAAAATACAACTTGCCTAATAATTCTGCACTCCCTGTATTGTTTGACCTGTTTGTAAAGGTAAAGTAAATCCTCACAAAGAAAACCTGTTTGTGTGAAAATGGATTCATTTCAGATTTGTGTAACCATCTGGTGTCAGTAAAGTGGGATCCTTTGGCTGATGTCTGCAATCGACACAGTGGTGCCTGATCGTCCTGGAAACAGGCCTCTAACCTTGTGTAGTTGAGAGATCGTGTGGTCCTCAGATCATCTCCACTGGGACTTTGAGGAACATTGTTCTTAAACAGAGAACTGAAATAAATTATTATATTTTAAAATGACTCCCTGCATGTTCACATCTCCTTGAATGCAGTTATGACTGTGAGGTAGACT